AAGAAGTCTTTTACCACTACGACGACGACGACAACGACTACTACTAGTACCGCCATACCGCCACCGCCACCGCCACCGCCACCGCCACCGCCACCGCCACCGCCACCGCCACCGCCACCGCTACCGCTACCGCTACCGCTACCGCTACCGCTACCGCTACAGCTACCGCTACCGCTACTGCTACTGCTACTGCTACTGCTACTGCTGCTGCTACTGCTGTACTGCTACCGCTACTACTACTCTTACTACAACAACAACAACAACTACTACTACTACTACTACTACTACTGCTACCACTACTGCTACTACTATTACAACAACAACAACAACAAGAACAACGGCTGTTGCTGCTATTTGACGACGACGACTACTACTACCGCCCGATCCACTCCCACGGCTCCCATTACTCACCACTCCTACCGCTCGCACCACTCCCACCACTCCCACCACTCCCACCACTGCCACCTACCACCACTACCACCACTACCACCACTACCACCACTACCGCCACTGCCGCCACTACCACCCCCGCCAAGCCGCCACCACCAGGCCCGCCACCGCTGCCGTCACCACCACTACCACCGCCACCGCCGCCGCCCCCACCGCCACAATCACTACCAGAAATGGATACTTTACAGCAAGAACAAGAAGAAATGTACTTCGCACCGCTTACAGAGTAGGTCCTGTCCTGCGACGGCAAAATGCGGGTTGCTTTGACCGGGCTTGTGATGCAATTTCGGGTGTGATTCAGTTGGCCGACCTGTTGTGAAGATGCTCGACGTTAAGGTTGCGGGCCCGAAGTGTTCCCGAAGCCCTCTCGTATCATTCGGCGGATAGCAAGTTTGTAGGATTTGTAGGATGCCCTCCGCACAGGCAATTGTGCTTTACAGCATTCTGGTCTACACCTGCTTCTACAACTTGCTGGTGTCGCCGCTCGCCCTTGACTGAAGAGTTGCTGTCCCAAAAAAGAGCGGTGATCCCGATAGTCTATCGACGATAGACTTGTTCATCCCGAAGATGCCAAGCCGTGTCCCACGGCTCTCTGCTCGCGGTTTGAGGGTTACGAGTCGTTCTGAGTCCTGTGTAGCATTCATGGTTCCCCGGTCAGGAAACGAATGTCTTTACTTGCCCGGTCTTGCGTTGGATCGTTACAAGAACCTGGCCAACATAGGCTACAACTTATCTACAACTTCATGCACTTTCTGTCTGGGGCAGCAGCATTCTGTTCCGGGAAGCTTTGCACGTACTGAATTCCGAACCCGCCTCGGCTTGGCAGCTCTGAAGCCCGCGAGCGCCGCCCGCACGCACGGTAGGCGCTGAGCCTCCTAAACCCTGGTCTCGTGCCTGAGGCAGTTTTGTGGAGTTTACATGGCGCTGTCGGAGGACATTCAGGGCCATGCCAGGCCGAATAGACAGGGTCAAATCATGGTGAAAGTTCCTGAGTGTCGAACTTGCCCCAAAGCTGACACTTTATCCTGACTTCAGCCGACCGCGCGCATGCTGTTGAAGATGTGTCACTTCTTCCGTTCCAGTCGCTTAGGTGTTTTTACTTTCAGAGCTGTGTCGTGTCCCAGCGACCAAGGTAAGCTTGAAGTTGACAGCCTGCAAAGATGGATCCTCGAAGTTCTATTTTCCGCCTTTGAGCGAATCCATGAAAGCCTGTTTGCAGATTGGAGCGGGGCTTCATCATCATGGAGACCCTGAAGGACACCCCTTCCCCCCTGGTTGTGCTCGGGTCCAGCAAGTTTGGCCGGGGCATCATGGCTTCCACCGCCGTCTTAGAGCTGCCCATAAGAAGAACATGCCGCCGAAGACAGTAGCTAATCTTGGACACAGAGCGGTTGTTCCAATACTGTATCCTGCAACCAAAGGCACCTGCAAGCTTCGTCATTTCGCCAGGCGCTGCAAGTCTCGAGCCCACACGCGACAAAACATACCCGTGCTCGAGAATAGTCTGCTAAACCTCGAGAATCCTCAACCCCCAGAAGCGGATGCTTCCGAGCAGTGGACCCTTGCCCGGCCCGCAGGGGATCAACATGCACCGCTGGAAGAGGTTCATGACGTCCATGTCCCTGGAGCGGCGGGTCGACTTCGGTGAAGGCTTTGGGTTGATCGGGCTATAGTCCACCCCTAGACCTGAGATGTTGTATCGTGCCGGCATCTCAATTTTTTGTTGGTGAATTCGGCGGTTTGGGGATCATTCGATTTCGGGAAAGCTCGTCTTCAAGTGCGCGGAGAGATGTTGCGCCGATTCTCCAAACTTCCCGACCTAGAAAGCCCCCAACGAGACTCGAGAGCCGGCACTTCCAAACCTGCATCGCGCAGTCTTCCAGCCTTCCGGGAACTCCCCCAAAAAAGGCTTATTTCAAGTCTACGAAGATCTCAGGGTCTTTTTCCCTGTTGGAAGTGCAGGCGACATCGGCCTGGCCGGGGGCGTCAAAGTCTTCGAACCTGCCCTGGAGCACCCCATCTCCAAGGCAGCGCGCTTCAGCTCCGTTCGCATGTGACGCGTGACGCGGTGGGTGTCCTCAGTTTGGGCGGGGGGTTTAGGGTTGAAAGATGTTCACTCGACCGCCGCCTCGCTTTCGAGCGCAGGGGCTAATCAATCTGCATGAAGCACCGAACTGGAAGCCTTGAGGCTCGACATAACCTTGACGAGCTTTTGGGGATTTAGGCTTGGTCTGCTGGGCATACACTCGTCTGTGAGGACCAGATTGTACGCTTCGGTGGTCACACGGATCCCACACTGCCGTGGCCGGAGAAAGATCACGACGACAAGGATGCCCTGGAGAAGAAGCTCGGATGTTCTGGCGCCTAAGGCCTGGAAGGCCTGGAAGGCCATGAGAGGCTGAGCTCCGGCTGACCTTGCCGAAGCGACCTTGTCTCGTTCTAGGTCAGAGCTGGCCAGCTGGTAGCAAGGGCTCTGAAGTTCTCGTGCCGGTTTGATCTCGATGCCCTATGAGCTCCAAGTCTCTCCATCTCAATCCTTTCCCGCAGCTTGCATCAGCTTGCATCAGCTGCAGCCCAGCCTCAGAGCTCAGAAGCCGAGGATGATCCAGCGAACGATGCTCGGCCGGAGCCAGATTCCATAGGTCCAAGGCGCATCTGTGCTGCTTGCGCTCGAGAATTCTAGCGTATCCAGTTAGACCACATTTCTTTTCTCTGCGCCTGCCTGGAACCGCACTCAAAGCCCTAGATCAGCAGCCCGAATCTCTGGAATCGGAAAGAGCATTGTCATCGCATCCTCTGTGTGCTTGGAATGGTTCTCCGATTCTTCGGATGTCTCAGCTGACAGAGAAGGCAGAATTTGCATCATGGGTTGTCAGAGGAAGCACATGCCCCGAAATGATGGGCCATGGTCTTTTCGGGGGTCGGACCGTGGGCCCGTGAGCCCGTGGGCCCGTGAGCATGTGGCGGGCCC